TGCCCGTCCGCTTGAAACTATTTCTGAGAAGCACAACATAGAAAAGCCACCCTAAACTCTAAACCCCAACAACCCTAAACCCTAAACCCCTAAACCCTAAACCCTGAACCCTAAACCGTAAACCCTGAACCCTGCATCCGACACCCCAAACCCCACACCCTAAACCCTAGGCCCTGAACCGGAAACCCGAAACCCTAAACTTCATGCCCTAAACCCCCAAGCCCTGAACCATTTTGGGTTGCCTCGGTGTTCTAGAGCTCCGGGGTTTATGCAGGGCCTGAGTACAGTCAGGCTTCTGCATTATCGGTTCTTAGTTTCGGACATTGAGCTTCGGTATTTAGCAGGTTAAGGGGTTTGGGGTTCAGGCTTGAGGGTAGAGGGTTTAGGGCTTAGGATTTTTCCTAAGTGCACTGGCCTTTTCTGTGCGAGCAAGCCTGCCTCATACGAGGCCTACACTGTGTACCCAAGAAGAGCTGGGGGTTTAGGGTTTCGGGTTCCTGGTGTCCTCTTTGTAGAAACAACTAGGCCCCCTTTGCCGCCTGATGCAAACCCTGATTCAAATAGAGGGCTTAGAGCTGCTATAGGGTTTAGGGTTTAGGGTAATACTGAACCCCCTTCCTACAAAAAGGATCAAACTTTAGAGGTTTTAGGGACTGCTTGCTGCTGGACATTGGTTTAAAAAATAGAAACCTAGGCTGTGTTCGGGGTTTAGGGTTACTACGCAGGTTGCTACAAGGGTGCTATACGGATTCCCCTTAAGGGTTCGTTGAGGGCTTAGGATTCCGCTTATGGCTTACGGTTTAGGATATGATGCAGACCCCTGATTGACAACAGCCTGCCTTTCAGCCAAGCCCACTTTAACCAATAAGTGTGCTGCTATAATCCAAATCAGGGAATCGGTGTTGTTCATCAAGGGTCTACATTATCTAAAGAGGTCCCGCTTCTCCTGCAATTTACCTACCGCGCCACCTAACCGCCCTGCCTTGCAGCCCGAAACCCTAAACCCTAAAATGCAGCCAAAGAAGCCATAGCGCTCTGGATGCAGCAAACCATCCTACAATGAAAGACAGTTTCGGGCACGTTACTGGTTCTTAGCAGGGCCTGAAGAAGGTTCCCTGCTGTTCTCCCACGGGGAGCCCTTTTAGGCTTCGGACTACTGTTGTTGAGGTTCGGACTACTATTTTAGGATTCGGTAGTTTAGGGTTTGGCCTATTCGGCCTACTATTCTAGGGTTCGGACTACTATTCTCGGATTCGGACTATGTTTTTAAGATTCGGACGACTCGGACTACTAACTTTTTAAGGGTTCGGACTCCTTTTCAGGGTTCGGACTATTATTTGGGGAATCGGAACATTATTTTAGTGTTGGGACTCTTCTTTTCGGATCCGGAGTACTATTGTAGGCTTCGGACTACTATTTTAAGGTCCTTTTCAGGTTCGGACTGCCTTACGATTCGGTGCAAGATCCCAAACATCCGGAAATTCGTTGGCAAAATCCAAAAACTCCGGAAATTCCAGATCCGGAAATTTGTAGACAAGATCCGGAAATTCGCGGGCAAGATGCACGAGTTTCCGGACCTTGCCCAAGAATTTCCTCAACTTGCCCACGAATTTCCGGACTTTTTAATCTTTCCCACGAATTTCCGGATCTTGCCCGCGAATGTCATTAAGGTTTTAAGTTCATACTGATAGAGAGGGTTTAGGGTTTTGGGTGCGGTATTATTTTGGGGCCTAAATGGGTACCCTAATTTAGAGAACTACCCGTTGGGGTTTAGGTAGGCAACATGCCCTAACTCCTACGGCCTTTGGTTTTTGTTGAGGGTTTAGGTGGGTTGGGTCTAGGAGGAGTTTAGGATTCGGTGTTTTAGGGTGGAGGTTTATTCTCTAGGGGTTTAGTTTTTTGGGTTTAAGTTGCTTTGGCATCTACGGCTGTGGGGTTTGAGATAAGGCTTTAAGGCACGGGGCGTAACTTTATCAGGGCTTCTCGTTCGGGGTTTAGGTTTAGCATTAAGGGATTAAGGGTTAAGGGGGGTAGGATAAAGACAAGGCCCATGTGGCTGTCTATGAGGGGCGCGGTCCCAGCTTTGGATTTGCTCGGGCGTGAGCATCACGGTCCCGCCATGCCCAGTCGGTCGTTTGGAGCTGGCCTGGACGGAAGCCGCCTGCGACCGGGCTGTCAGGTTACCCAGAGACTCCAATATCCCTTAAGTAAGGAATATTCCTTTAATTATAGTAGGATCCTTAATATGATTTAAGGTATATTCCTTAATTAAGGGATATTGGAGTTTCTGGGTACGTGCTGTCACAGCCCACATTGACATAGACTGTTGGCATGAACAAACGAGGAGCCCAAAAGCTCCTCCATCTCCGGCCGATGCTTGCCCCCTGTCGGACGGGGCTCTGCAGGTAAAGGTAAAGCCATGGCACGTCATCGGCTGCAAAGCTCATAGCTAGCAGCACGTGGGGGCTTTGAAATGCTTATGGACCCTTCAAGAAGAACACTGTCACTACATATTAGGTCCATGATCCCTCTTGCTTACGCTTTGCTTGCTACAAAAAACCATTTGCTGAAGTGAACCTGCCCGGCTCTTCTGTAATACAACATGCTTGAAAGAACACCCTACACAACGCATTGAATCCCATAACCCTTAACCCTAAACACGTAAACCCCTAACCTAAACCCTAAGCCCATGATAAAGCGTTGAAAAGTTGAAGAAAACCGTAGTATTCAAGCCCTTCGGGCACCAAAAACTCCTTAAGCATCGAACCAGTGGTCTCTCTGAACTTCAACGCCCGAAAGCGTCAACCCGAAGAACCCCCGGTTTAGGGTTTAGGGGGTAGGGTTTAGGGCAACCCCAAACCCCAACTTGCTCAATCTGAACCCTTGAAAATCTCAAATCCTGAAGCCCCCCTCCCCCACAATTCCGACCTCCAGCGCAGCCATCTGCCCGAGACCAGGCGTGTGGTTCAGCTCTTGACAGGTCACGCAGATCTCGGAGGGGAGATTGACTTGCGGGGTTTTTGCTTCAGGGCTCAGGGTTACCCGGTTTGGGGAGCGCTTAGGAGTTTAGGGTTTAGGGGTTCTAGAGGGTGTAGGCTTGAGGGGAAAGTTGTGTTTCTTGTACGCTGGAGTCCAGGCGTTGCGGCATTTGGATCGGAGGCTGTAAGGCTTTTTGCCCGCAGAGGGCTGTTGCAACATACAGCACAACATGTATGACAGTATCTGACGCCCCAACTTTTTGACACTGGAGACTTCCAAACCCGAAACCCTAAACCCTAAACCCTGAAACCCTGAAACCCTAAACCCTAAATGACGGGTTGCTGCCAAGACTCGAAACCTGAACCCCAAAACTGATGCAGAGCTACGGTTTAGGGCTTCGGGTTTGGGGATTAGGGTTCAGGGTTTAGGGTTTAGGCTTTAGAGTTAGGGTTTAGGGTTTAGAGTTAGGCTTCAGGGCTCAGGGTTTAGGGCTTAGGGTTCAGGGCAGACCCGAACCCAGAGCCCTGCAACTTCGGTTCTTTGGGGTTTGACGCAAGGCGTGGAGCGAAGCCTAAACCCGGAACCCCCCCAAAACCCTGAACCCTAAACCCTAAACCCTAAAAGCCTGAACCCTAAACCCTCAAAAAGCTTAAACCCTCAAAACCCCTAAACCCTCAAAAACCCTAAACCCTGAACCCCCCGAAAATCTAAACCCTCAGAAACGCTAAACCCTAAACCCTCAAAAACCGTAAACCCTAAACCTTAAACCCTCTATGAAGCCCGCTGCGCTTAATCCGGACACCCTCCTTCGAAGATCTGGAGGCTTTGTCCATAGAGGTTTCGGTGTTTGCATCTAGGGGCTTTGGGTTTAGGATTTTGAGGTTTAGGGTTTAGGGTGTTGAGGCTTATGATATCCGATTTGGGTTTATGAGCAGATATAACTAGAGCTACTCTTACTTATAACCCTACTTCACGGCCTGATTGTGTGAATTGTGCCTACGGGTCCCGTTTTTCTTCAACATAGTCAGGCCACCCCTAAATCCCAAAGGCCCTAAACCCTGAACCCTAAACCCTTAAACAAAACCAAGCCCCGCCAGCCCAAATGGCCGCGTGCAGAGAAGGTAAGCTTTTATCAGGTGTCATTCGGGTTTATTGGGTGCTTATCGAGTTGTGGTGGGGGTTTGTTGGGTTTTGCAGGGTTAAACCCTAAACCCTAAACCCTAAACCCTGAACCCTGAACCCCTAGCCCCTAAACCCCTAAAACCCTAAACCCCTAAAACCCTAAACCCCAAACCCTAAACCCCAAACAAGGATGTCATAATGGGTACATCTTGAAACCATCGAGCTCTTAGGCCGGGGTTCGGGCCTCCAAAACCCCAATGCCTGCAACCAAGGATCGACGTCGCAGGATTCAGAGTTTAAGGTTCAGAGGTTTAGGGTTGAGGGTTTAGGGGTTTAGGGTTTAGGGCTTTCGGGGTTGAGGGGTTAGGGGTTGAGGGTTTAGGGGTTTAGGGCTTTAGGGTTCAGGGCTGGCTTAAGCCGTGCGGCAGCGAAGGAGAAGGTGGCCGTGAAGTTGATCAGCGGCCCACTGACGTTTGCCTCCTTCCTGCGTGGAAGGACCAGGGATGCCACCCTTGAACGAACCGTGGCAGGATGAAACCCTATCAACGCCGATACAAGCCCTAATAAGACCCTACATGAAGCACGATGCCTTAAATTATACCACGACTCTTGACGTGATCCTAACCTAAACCCTAAACCCTAAACCCTAAACCCTAAACCCTAAACCTCGTTCAGCGGCTCGGGGGTTTCGGGGAAACTCTTACGGTCTTGTGTGAAATCTTATTCCTGAAGCCGTCGTAGTGCTGAACCCTTCCATACCGACCTGGGACTTAACAACCGTCGTTTTAGGGTTTAGGGCTTAGGATCGCACCCTATTTTTCGTTATGGCTCGGTTGCACGTACAGGATATCGAAACCTCTAGGCGGAGGAGCGAGCCTCGGATTCCGAGCCCTAGGGTTTCGGGCTTAGGGCTTAGGGTTTAGGGCTTAGGTCTAGGGCTTGGGGCTTAGGGTTTGGGGCTTAGGGTTTAGGGCTTAGGGTTTTGGGTTGATTTAGCCTTCGAAAGTGGGGATTTGGGGTTGGAATTTGGAGTTTGGTTCTGGGTGTACGGTTTAGGATATTAGGCTTCATACCCCCAATAAGCCAGGGAAATGAAAGGTTAAACTTTCAGGTTAGTACGAAGTTATAAGAACCCAAAAGTTGTAAAGGCTGGTATTGGAGCACTAAGTAGGTACAGCATTTTGCACTTGAGTTTGGGGTTGGGGCACGGCTCGAAAGACAAGATATGTACAAGCTATTTTCCCAGGGGGACTTAGCACGGGCCCTTGTACCTGGAACCGGCTTTCAATAATTGGTAAAAATATCCCGCTGTAGTCGCTGTAGAACCTATATACTGCAAACTATTGAATCCTACGTCCAACCCTGAAACTTGAAGAACGAAAATTTCATGTGAAACAACGAAAGCTCAAAAAAGTCTGTGACGAGCCGTTTAACCGTCTTGGCCGCACTTGACAAAATCCCAAGAATCAACCCGAACCTCCCAAGCACAGCCTCCGAATACCGACAACACTAAGTCCCACCACCCTGTATGCCCAAGCCCCTCTACTAAGTCCCAAAGCCCAAGACCCAACAAATGCTTAACTCTAGAGCCCTGCAACCCCTCAGCCCAGGCAAAATCGAGAAGCCGAGGGGCCCTAAAAGCCTAAACCCTACACGCCTAAACCCCTGAACCCCTAAACCCCTAAACCCTAAACCCGAAACCCCAAACCCAAAGCCCTAAACCCCTAAACCCTATCCCTGTATAAAAACCCTAAACCCTAAACCCTATGCCCTATATAAACACCCTACACCCTAAACCCTATCTGGGCTTCTATGTTACAATCGCGGCAGCGGCGCTCAGCTTCCAGGACCCCGTCCAAAGCACTGACGAGCGCCTGGCGTGCGAGTTTCGTTTAAGGGTTTAGGGTTTAGGGTTTAGGATTAAGGGTTTATAGGGTTTAGGGTTTGGGGCTTAGGGCTTAGGGTTTAGGGTTGAGGGTTTAGGGTTTCACGGTTCGGGGTGCACTGTTTAGGGTTTTGCGATTCTGTCTTGGCTAACACAGGGTGCAGTAGTCCCGGGCTCTTTTTATACCCGAAACCCTGAGCCTTAAACCTCGAACCCCAAGCCAAAAACCTGTCAACCCTGAACCCGAAACACCCCAAACCTTAAGCCCCACATGTTGAACCTTAAGCCGCCTTATGGTGGGGTGTTACCCCAGACTCGCCGGTTCAAACAAGCACCCCTTAAACATACGAAGTGCTCATGTCCGAACCCAAAGCCGAAACCCTAAACCCTAAACCCTAAACCCAAACAAAACAAAAAAAACGCGCCTTGATCATGTCCTCCGGGCCGCCCGGAGTGATCGTCGCCCCGGCCGGGATCCTCGAAAAAGCGCAGGGAGGCGGGGAGCTTTTTGGTGGATCCCTAGGGTTCAAGGCTCTAGGGTTTAGGGTTTTGGGTTTTTTCGTTGGATCCTTTGGATTTGGGATGTAGGGGTTTAGGGGTTTAGGGGTTTAGGGCTTTAGGGGTGTAGGGGTTTAGGGGTTTAGGGCTTTAGCGGTTTAGGGGTTTAGGGGTTTAGGGGTTTAGGGGTTTAGGGGTTTAGGGGTTTAGGGGTTTAGGGTCTAAAGACTTACGGATGGCTGAAAAAAACATGTTTCTGTCTGTTTCTAGGATTGTTATAAGGGTTTGTGGTGTGAGTTTCGGGTTTAGGGGTGAGTTTAGGGTTTAAGGTTTAGGGTTGAGCGCTGCGGATGCTTACCGCTGCGTTTTGTTTTTGTTTGCTTGAGTGTGTGGATGTGTGTCCTTGTCTTGGGTCCTTATATGGTTTTGTTGGAGTTTTGACAAGCTTCATTTGTGGTTTTATGGGTTTTAACATGGTTTTCAGAAACTGCACGGTTTCCGATTCCTTCAACCCTGAACAAGGCACCCTGTCGTCCCCAAACCTCACGCCTAAACCCTAAAGCTCTAAACCTAAAACCCGACAACCCCAAAGCCCTAAACCTCAAACCCCAGAGCCTTTAACCCCTAACAGTCCAGAGACCTCAATGCTAAAATCTGAGACTCCTTGAAAGACTCCTTTCCCAGACCCCGGAAGTATCTACAAAGTAGATCCCCTAATTTGGGACCCTATACAGTAGAAGCCCAAAAGTTGGAAACTCAATAGCCTCACCTTAAGAGTAATGTATAGAGGATCCCAGCACTAGTTGTCCTTCATCCGGTTTGAAACTTTTGGGGTTTACTAGCCTACTAAAGGGGTACTCGATAGGAACCTCCTTATGGGTTCCTAAACCCTAAACCCTAAACCCTAAACCCTAAACCCTAAAGGCCCTGAGCCTTTGAAGTGTTGCTTTTTCGTCGGTGTTGGGTGGCGGGTTTGACGGTGTAGGGTTCTACAACCCAGACCTTCGGTTTAGGGTTTAGGGTTCAGGGTTTAGGGTCTACATTAAGGGCGTTGGGGGTCTGAGGGCTTAGGGGTTAGGGCTTTCGGGTTTTTAGGGCTTTTGTGCTTTCGCGCTCTCGGCCGCAGCCGGGGGGCTTGAGGTCCGGCTCATTGACCAGAATGAAATGCTGCAAGGCCGGATGGTACTCCTTCTTTGCAGCTGTGCTGCGTGGGTCTTCAAGGCTTCAGGGCTCTAGAGCTGCAGAGCTTGAGGTTCAGGGCTTGTGGTGTCCCCAACCCTAAACCCTAAACCCTAAACCCTGAACCCTATGGTTTGGGCCTTAGGGTTTAGGGTCAGAGCTTTCAATCATGAGCAACATTGTTGCTGCTAGGATTGCATCAATGCTTGCAGATATCTGGTGAATACAATCACTCCGTAAAGCTGCCACCAAGTTTAATACTGTTGTTGTTCATTCTCCACATGACTCATGTTTCTCTTACCACTATCTTCCCACGACTAGCACTTCACCCTAAACCCTAAACCCTTGCTTGACCTCTAGTGCCTGGTACTAATATCGCGATCTTGGCAATCAGAAAAGGGTTTCGGGGCACGGTATAGTATAGTAAACTTATGATCAGGAACCGTCACGAATAATATAACTAGTTGTTCATGCTTCTACGTAAACTTTACCTCAACCTTTGTAGAATTCAAGCGTCTCTGCATTAGTTAGTAAGGCTCCTATATTAAACCTTATAGTACCCTGACCGAACCCCTCAAGAACCCGAGAGAACCATATGTCAACCGATCCCAAAAAGCACTAAAACCCTACTTATGAAGGGTATAAACCCTACAATTTCCGACAGAACCCTCTCAACAGTCTCGCACCCCATTAAACCCTAAACCATGGAGCCCAAAGCCCTAAACCCTAAACCCTAAATCCCTAAACCCCTAAACCCTAAACCTGTGCCTTGGCATCGGTCAGGAAGCCCTTCTGCAAGTTCGCCGCGTAATAGCTCCGCGTTTGGTTGAAGCAGTCCTCAGGTTGGGTTCAAGGTTTAGGGTTGTAGGGTTCTTTTTAAAAAAAAAAACAAAGCGTCTAGGGTTCAGGGTTGAGGGTTTGGGGTTTAGGGTTTAGTGGACTAGGGTTCGGGGTTGAGGGTTTAGGATTTCGGACTCAGGGCTTAGGGCCGTTTTGTATAACCGGAAACCCATAAGCCCTAGACCCGAGTGCCTCGCGGTTTGAAGGCTTTTAACGGCATTGGTTGTTTGAGGGTTTCTACGGTGCTGAACGCTTTGGCAGGGGTTTTGAGCAGGTGTTGACGAAGTTTGCTGCATTTTCGTTCTGGGCTTAGGGTTTAGCGAAAAAGGTGGCTTTAGGATTCAGGGGTTAGGGTTGGGTCCAGGATTCACTATGATTCAAGCTGATTCAGGATTGAGGGGTTGGTCAGGACTCTCGCTTTTTGGTCCCACTCCTCCTCCTCCTCCTCCTCCTGATCCGCCTGATATGGATTCTCCGTATCGTCATAGATACTGTGAGGAGCTGGGCCACGTGTCTAGCTGCCGGTGACACGAACCGTCGGCGCTAGGGCAAGGATCTTGTTCCCACTGTTGACTGGCTGAAGACCCTCTTGCATTGACGGTTTGGCTCAAACTCTAGACATCAGATGCAGAGGCTACGACACAGGAGAGTAATGTGAAGGCTGAGAAAGGCGGCTTGTGATGATGAAAAATGCTGATGTTGATGATGGTGGTGGTGATGATGACGATGGTTACAACGATGACGATGCGCATGATGATGGTGATGATGATGATGACAATGATGATGATGGTGATAATGATGATGATGACAA